TTACAAGAATTACAGTTTTGTGAAGTTGTGTCTAAATTAAAGCATTTCTGCAGAACAAATGGCCTTAAATTCTCACAGAATTCCTGGAAATGATTGTGAAATTGCCTTCAAAAGATAGAAAAGTGTGTTCAGTTTTTTTTTCTTTTGTGTCAACAGTGTAACTGCTTTATAATATTTTTCCTTATCTATACCCGATTTATTACTTGGTTTCTTTCTACTATATGTTGTTCTTTGTCCCACCTTGACCTAGGGTGAGTTTTATAAGCATGAAACTATTTTACTGAAGAAAATACATACATACACATATCTAACAGAAACTGTTACAAAACTGTAATACTACATTGTTCATTTTTAAGTATGTATTAAAACCTTCAAAAGAATAACTATTTTCTTTGTATCTTTCACTTGTGAGTAACATGGAGTGTGATGATATGCCAGTCTACTTTTAACCTGTTTGTTTTTACTTACCTTCATTTATCAGTCCAAGCACCAAAGGTAAATAAGACCAATATACTTTCCTTTTGTCAAGCATCAGTTATTTTTCTTTGAACTGACCAGAGAAAATGAAAGATGAACTTTTTCTTGTTTGAGCAGTAGGGTAGCCAAACGTAGTTAGAATAGATGGTTAGAAAGAGCAATCTCAGTTTCAAATCTCACCTTTTGTGTGGATGAGAATAATCACCAGAAACATACGTGATATTCTGTGTGAATGACTACAGAATATCAGGTCTTCCTCTTTATTATAAGTGAAGACACAAATACTGAAATGAACAAATAAGTTTGCAAGACTAATTTGAGAAGAGCTCATTGCCATCATGAAAATACTTGTTACAGCCACTTAAATTCTTCGCCGGTAGGTCATGTACAATGAAAAGTCCCAGAGACATACTGCACGAATTCAAATCCATAGCAATAGCTACACCTGCAGCTAGGCATCAGGGATATTCAGACATCAGATTGCAAGCAATGAGAGCATTTTGTGCTGAGAGAACAGTGGCAGATGCAAGTCAGAAAACCTGCTACAGAAATAAATTCCAGCTGGGATCCCTCAGGGATCCTGAAGGCTTTCGATGCTGTCTTCCTTCTAACCCCATTCGCTTCTCCATACTGAACCCTCAGATTACTATTTTTCTCTTCATGATGAACTCTTGGCCTCTATTCGATCATTTCCTGACCAGGTCTTTTATTTGGTATCAACCCACACTGCTTCTCAGATGAAAAACTTACTCCCACCCATCGCATCACTTTTCCCCAGCTGACCTGGGTCAGTCACACATCTCCGTCATGGTGCCCGTGTGCCTCCCATTGGGGTGTTTTTGGTGTCCACTCAGAACATCCTTTGTATTTTCCAGCTCAAACCTCAACCCCTCTTAACTGTGTTCTTTATCGGACCCTTCTGTGAGCTTGTCTTTGTGCCCCGTCTTAGCATAGGGGCCTCTAAGCTCCCCACCCTTAAATAATATTAAGAACATCTGCATACAAGAAAATTTTGAAGGCTTCTCAGTTTGATGTGCAGCAAGGGTATGGAGCTGCTACAGTTAAGAATGTCAGGTGACTCAGTGACTGCTTCTACCTCTCGTGCCATGCGGTCCAGAGAGGAAGGAGGTGGATGTGACTCACTGGAGTGGCAGTATTTGGAGGAGAAGATACTTTGAGCAAGCCTGAAGCATAGGCTGTTTTGTTCTTTACACATAGTGGAGAAAATTGGGATTTATGCACTTTATCATTAAGGTCAAAAGAAAATCAAATTTAGTGATCTAATTAGATTTTATTTGCAATTCATGAAGCACGGTAGCCTCTGTTCTACAAAATGGGATGAGATTGAGAAGTCTGGGCAATAGCAAAACTGATTTTACATGGTGAGAGTAAGGAAAGAATGATAGAGTGATTGGTTAACACAAGACTACCTTTCTATAGTGGCTATGGTGGAGAGTGCTTCCTTACGTTGACTCGAGTAGACCGACACTCCTGTTTTCAGGGAAGATGTCGGTTTTGAGACCCATATTCTTGCATGAGGTTTCAGCTGGATTCTGTGAGAGTATGAGTGACTCCATTTTGGACTGGTCTGGTCTGCTTTGTGGGGGCCCCAAACAGGTGCTCAATCGAAGACTAATCTTCCATCCCGTTAGCATTATGACCTGTCGTCAGCTTGGGAGGTGGAGAGATTTCCCTCATGAGGATAAGGTTATGTCTTTGAGAACCTACGGCCATTGATCGTGCCTTTACTTTTTAGCTTATGCATATTTTAATCATTTTGTCCCTCTGTGTTACTTTTATTTGACACAATGACAAAATATTTAATATAAACTTATTAAGATGTAAGGCATGAATATCTACTTGTAAGAAATGCTCCCATACAGAGCTTGCCCACCAGTGTATACCAAGGGTTTATAAATGTGTTTCAGGGTTTGAACCTTCAGGTGTAGCAGCTGAAGCAATTTTGGCTCAGAGTTGACTGACCTTGAGTTGACCTCAGAGTTGGCCTGCCTTACATACAGTCCCATTTTTTCCTGTATGTCTTGATGTCTTGACTAAAAATGGTGGTGCAACTGCATTCCAAAGATAATTTTTCAGTCTGTACTTACAATAGTTTATTTGTACCTTACAGTATTCTATTTATCACTCTTTTCTGATTATATTCTGTACTAATCCATTTTTCCATTGCCATAACAAAATACCCGAGGTTGGATAACTTTAAAGGGAAGAGGTGTAATAACGTGTGTCATGTGATGCAGCAGAAGCCTTCATGAGAACCAAGCAGGTATTGGCCCTGTGCTCATGAGCCTTCAAAAGTGTGAGCTCCATAAACTTTTTAAACATCCTATCATTCACAGAAAGATTGAGTTTCTTAATTTGTGCAAGACCCACAGGACCCATAGCACAATGAAGGACAGAATCAAGTTCAGATATTATTTCTTAGAACAAGTGTAATTCCAGAAGCTGTTCCCTCCTCTTCACTACTGTAGTGCTGCTGGTCCCTGCGTGCCTTCTGCCCACCAAACTGCCCTCTATTTGCTCCCCTCATTTCGTAGCACACCACGCCTTTCATTCCATAAATACAGGAGCTGCCAAGGCAAAGGAGATGGAACTTCGAAGCATTAGTAAGTATTCTTGGTAAACATGCTGAGGACTCTGAACCAGGAGTTGTTTCCAAAAATCCTTTTGATACAGGAAAATAAAAGCTCCCAATCTGGATGATATCTGGGACAAGTTCCTGTTCTCTAAAATCAAAAGAATGAATTTTAGGAACAACAGAGGTTAAGAGCAGAATGTATTTATTGAGTGAAAGAAAGCTTCTGCCCAAGAGAGGGACAGAAGTGGGCCTGAGTGGGTTGCCCAAGACTCTGTCTTTTCTAGGGACTTTTATAGAGCAAAACCATGAACTGAGGTAGGTCCAAGGTAGGGGAAAAATGGACAAAACTATGGTCAGCCAATAAGAACTGTTCGGGTAAAATTGATTAATTGGGATCAAATGGGGAAGTGAGTCACTTAGCAAGTGGGCATGAATACAGAACAGGGGCTTTTCCTGTAAGGGGTCGGGTCAGGGACACTTCAAGGTAATCGCTACCTATTTAGAATATCAATCCCTGATGTCCATCCCTAGGGAGGTATGTGGGTGCATTGTTTAGTCCTTTGTCTTGAGGTCTGGCCTGCAGCAAATACGCATCTTTCATGTTGGCTCCTTGAGGGCCTGGCCCTGTCTGACTGCCTGTAATATTTCTATCTAACTCAGCTGCCTATAGCACTTTCTTCATGAGATCTCTTGTTTACATATGATTGTGAGATGTTAAATACATCTTAAACCCCAGCTTTCCAAAATAGAGCCCATCATCAGGCAATATTAACACTCATTAACATAATAAAGAGGACATGATTTTTGATGAGAGAAGAGTTGGTACATTATGAGCACACAAATACATGGAAAGGCTTCCTTGAAGATGTCAGTGGAGAAACTAAAAAATTAACACGTGCTTAATAGTCTGTGATTGTGTCTTTTTTTTTCAAAGCAACTGATGCAATACATTGTACTGTTTCCATAATAGGCTCTAGACAAAATGAAGACAATGGCGACAATGACAGTACATTGAACTCATCACAAATGAATCTGTTACAAATTTCCAGGGCTTCAAGAGTAACATATGTAAAGAGTAATGTACATAAAGAAAAAAACAAGCAATATATAAATACTCAGATTTTTGCAGCACAAGGCAGTAAGTCTTTTAATAGATGATTCTCCTGGCAATATTTACACCCCTGATTTCAGCTTTCACAACCTGGAGTGAGCAGGCACCCAACAGAAGTACAGTGTATATTTGTACAATACCTAGTACAATGTAAAGGCCCACAAGAAACTTGCTTTTCTTTACACAGATGTGACTAGAGCAACCTCTTCACTGCGTGGAAATCTTCTTTGTACTTAAACGTACATGATACGCAGAAATCTTCAAGCATACAGTTTGCACGTGTGCTCAGATTACTCCTAAGACATTCTAGTTCTAATTCATATCACATAGTTTTGAACAGTTTTTGAGGATGTTTCTTCAGACTTTTATAAGGCGGAGCTTATCTCTTGCTCCGTCAGCCCCAGCCCCTCTGACCTTGTTCTTGTTCCCTGCCCTGAGGTGAGGCTCTGAATGTCAAAATCTAGGAGGAAGATGACCGCTGACTCCTGCCCTGGAAAAGCCAAAAGCAAACGGATCTATGAATTTGCTCCTTTAATTTGAAAGTCATGACCTCATGATTTTCTCAGCTCCAAGTTATCCACTGATTTAATTTCCATGAAACAGGCCTGTTGGGTATTCATAATGCATTTAGATAAGCTGATTTCCTACAGATAGGATCTGCTATCAGCCAGAGGCACGCATATCACTGGCGTTACAAATTAGGAGGAGGGTGAAGTTAGAAACATGCTTGGGTTTGGCTTAAAAATAACTATCCTTCCATTGATCTTCCTCACCTTGAAAAATAAGACAATTAGTTATAAGACTGATTTGGCAATTTTTCAAAGAACAGTGACCTTTATTGTGTTGACAATAAACATATAAAGACCCTTTCTGGGAGTGGATGTAGGAGGTACGCATGTAGTCCCAGCTACTTGGGAGGCTGAGTCAGGAGGATCCGTTGAACCCTGGAGTTTGAAACCTAAGGGAAAAGGGGCAAAGAAACAAAAACAAAACAAAACATATCACCAAAAATAATATGCCTTACAAATCTTTAAAAACAAGCTTTAAATCTGAATCTACTTCAAATTAATTCACTATCATTTTCAACCAGAACAAAAGGGATATTTTATAATTTAGAGACTGGCAAATTTTGTAGGGACTTTAGATAATTCTAAACAAAGAACTACATAACTGGGTAAACTGTAAAAAAACCAAGACAATCATTCTTTGTGTTTATCAAGAACTGTCTTTTAATCTCTTACACACTAAATAGACTTAACAAAAAAAGTCTACTAGATCAGTTTGTACCTAAATTAGGTGGCAGTTTTGAAAGATGAATTAAAGTTACCGTTAATTTTTCACTTATTTCAGGGGAGGATATTTTGTAATTTTCTTTTTTAATGTTTGAGTTTTGATTTTTATTAGTACATGTTTCCAGTCCCTAATAATTAAATGCACTGTAAGGAGTCGGAAGTACCCATCTCAGTTTTTCTCCTTCCCTGCCCCTCCTCCTGCCCCTTTATTTTTATTTATTTTTGGGGGGTTGGGTACCAGGAGTCAAACTCATGACCTTGTGCTCGCCAGGCAGGCGCTGCGCTGCTGAGCTGCTGAGCTGCGTCTCCAGCCCCTCAACCCCTTCATTTTGCCAGCATTGGACTCATTTGTTTATTTTATGAATCCCGATAAAGTGAATTACCATATATACAGATTAACAACCAGGCTAATGGGCCATAAGACACATAAAACACATAGGACAACCAGACTACATCAAGATACACTTTTTGATACCGAGGCCCTGTCTTTTCTATCAAGGGATATGAGCGGGAGCGCCTCAGTTTTAGACTGGTCCACCCTCGATGGCCCTCTCCTAGTTAGGAGAAGCCGTAGCTGCAGACCAAAGATAGCTCGTCAATAGCCAAGCACTTTCTGTCCAGGGTGTGCTCTCTGCTCCCACTCTTCCTTCCCCTAGCAACTTTTCAGGTCTGCCCCTTGTGTGGCTTCAACCAGCCAATCAGGGTGGATTGTAAACCTTCCACCCAACCAATGGGGAAAAGGTCAGCTGCTGCTCAGCGCTTAAGGATAAAAGGGGCAGCAGCCCTCTTTGTCCTGTGCCTGCTGCTTCATTGCTGGGGTGTGCTTGTACACAAACTTGCCTTGTTGAGATTTCTTGATGCTTTATTATCTGCAGGGACAAATTGAGTGTCTGCTGACTTATTCCCAAAAATACACTGTCCATGCTGAATTACAGTGGCTTTTTTCCTCTATTTTTCTTATTATGTGTTTTATTTCGTTTTTTATATATTGAGTCTTTCATATAAGAGATGTCATGCAATATTTAAGCTTCCGTGTCTGATTTACTTAAAAATATCAATAATTTGACACCTAAATCCAAAGGGCTACCTGTGTCCATGCTACTTCAATAAGCTGATTATAAAATCCCTAGAAGTTTTTCCAGAATGAACAAGATTCATCAATGTGTCATAAATCAGGAGTCTCAAATCCCAAATTTCCATTTCACCAGTCTGGTTTGGGAAAAATATCGCATAAATTTCCAGACCTAGTTTTTATTACCAATTTTAGTGATATTTTCAATGGTCCTCCAAGAACTACTCCATGATCCTTTCAGAGACCGAAGTTCCTGCACTTCAAGCACACCCGGAGCCTGGCCCTTTCCTAGCCAGAGGGGAGGAAGCTGCTCAATGGTCTTGGGGTGCTGAGCTATCCAAGTACCTTCTGAGAGACTGAACGGAAAAATCTCAACTTCTTACTGAAAAACCCACCTTAGGAGCTCAGCCATTGTTCCACATTTGCACCATTGCTCCTTTCACCTAAAAACAGAGAGGTATGGGATGGGTGGGAGCAAAAGCCTCAGGGCCTTTGTCGTGGGAAGGTCTGAGGCTATTTCCTTGAGTTTCGCAGAGGGCAAAATTCCCAAGGCGTCTTCTGGATGCTTACAAAGTACTTTTTTTATATTCAGGATTTCCCCTAAAAAACAACCACTTTACTACTGACTTCATGTGAGTGACTTTGCTAGCTGCTCCCTGTTTGCCATGCCTGTCCTTGAGCAGCATTTGCTCACAGAGCTGATCCCGATGAAGTGCTGAGTGGAATCTCTTGCTCTGCGTCCCCACAGGACCCTGTTCTTACCCTTCTGCCCTTTACCTGTGTGACCACTTGTTTGTTGTCTGCAGTTTGGTTTCCGACAAGAACTCCATGGGTGACAGAAGCAGGTAAGTCTTATTCACTCACCTGTCCCTGACACTTAGCTGGGCCTGGTTCTAGGTAGTTTGTCAACTAACTCAGGAAAATCAATGGAATGGAAGATCTGATTATTAAGAATGTCATTCTAGTAACCTGGTATCTTAATGTGAGCTAGAACTTCAATATCCCCAGACTGAGAGATCACTGAAATCTTAAAGCACCATCAAAGCTCACTGTTCCAATTTTTATTTATTCTTCAGTCTAAACTAAAAGTGTGAAATGGGATGAGTGGAGATCAACAGCCTCTCTCTGGCCACTTACTCTCAGGGTTAATTAGCAGTGAAATAGTCAAAAGCTGGCAGGCAGCATGAGAGAAGAGATTAATGAAGCTTTGATACACTCTGATAGCCAGTTGGTCCTGATTAAGTTAGACCCAGGAGAAGTCATTTCAAAAGATGCTAAGACCTTGTATTATGTCTGCACTGAAATTTCTTTTGACCAAGCACACTAATACAACAATACAAAATGAGATTTGATGAATAAAATAGAAGGCTATTAAACACATTGGCCCACATTCTCCCTTAAAAATGATAGATGATGAGAATGCATCTTTTAGGTACTGGAAAAGAATACTAAACCTTCACCCTTGCATTTTACCTGTGTGTGTACCTTTTCTGAGTTACGGTGCTGTGTATATGTCTGTGTGGGGGAGATGAATGTATGCCTTCATTTGTGCATGCACCATCATGTATGTCCAAGCAATAGTAAAATGTGGACACAGTGAACAAGGGCACCAGTTTGCAGGAAAAAATGATTAGGTTGTAAAAGGATTTACCGTATTTCATGATGTTGATTACCTGTCCTCAAGGTGGTAATGATGAACTATACTGAATGTGGACAAAAATTCTGAAGGCTAAAACTTTGCAATTGAATTCATACTAGGACAGGTTGACTTGCAAATCCTACTGTGATAATATTTATGATTTTAGTGTACTCTTTCATTTCTGCTTAGCAACAAGGGGAAATGATTTAATGAATATGAATTTGACTGTGGGGAGGAAATGTGGAGGATATTGACATTTTAGCTCAGAATGCCACCCACCAGTTGATAAGACTATTTAACTTTCTGAGAAGGAATTAATAAATACATCCTATCAGTATCCTCCATTAAATAATGTTTTTCCAATAACTATCAGCATAGCAATGACTTTGGTTAAACATTAATAATTAGGAAGAGCTATTCTCTCTACACCTATCAAAACTACTCATCCATCGACATTTAGATCAAATGCTGTTTTTGACACAACTTTCCCACATCCGCTTGATTACTAGGAACCAACCCCTCCCTTTTCCCACGCCCATCTGTGGGGACAAAATCTGTGTTATCAGCAGGGTGGCCTTACTGCTTTAATGCTGGCAGGAGTTGAGGTCTGACTAGAGTTGATTAATAGGAAGCTCATCTGCCTAAAGATATGAGTCACATTCTCCAACTTGACCTTCGATAGCAATAGTGGCAATGCTTTATCTTCCATCTACCCTAGTCCTTTGTGCTATTTTTGTTGGTTTTGAGAAGCTGGTGACCTATCCAGCCTCTCAAAGACCCCAGCAGTCCTCTGCCTGCAATGTTACCCTCACACGTCACTCTGTCCATCCATCCTTGGTTTGTAGGGTAGGGGTTTCCCCAAGCTTGCAGGATGGAATCCAAACTTTTTAGCATGTACGCTCATCTGAAGCAGAATCCAAGACAAAGACTAGGGGGAGTGAGTGTGTTAGGGAGGCATCTCCTCAAGAAGGAATGAGATGGAAGAGGAAGATTGTAGGAAAATCTGTTGTAAATGGACGTTATCAAGCTCACTACTGCAGGTAACAAGGCTCATCTTTGTCTTGCAAATGTCAGATCACCATAAAGGATGCTTCTTAGAATTGTTAATGCCTACCTGAAGAAGTAGCCCTCTGTAAGCCCTATCTCCTCCAGTTAGGATTTCACGTACTTCTGTGTTCCTTAGGCACGCTGGAGCATTGACCAGTATCAGTAGCATTTCAGCCTTCCCAGGGTGACAAGCTAAAGATCCATAGTGCATGCCTGAGGTAAGGCACCATGTCTGAAGGTGTGAAGTTTTCATGGAAGCCTGGCATGGTCGAGATCCGAAGAGAGGCTAAGAGTCTGGGTTGGATTATCAGAAGTAGATAAGATACATGGCCTTCAAGATCCACATGCAACTGGTATTACCTGTGTTTCAACCGCTACTTCTCTCCTTCCTATGTGAGAGGCAGCATGAGTGCAATTGCAGGCAGGTTTCTGAACAGAATTCCGTTCCATACTCCATCCTTCGCATATCAGTCCTGTCTCATTCTCACTTCTACTCAGCATCCACAGTCCTGGTCTCCCGGGCATGTCCACATCAGTTCATCTCTCCTTCCCTTATTTTATGCAATTTTTAAGGGACAACCAATATATTTAAAATTACTAAAGTCTCCTGGACTTGTTCTGAGTGGGGTGGAGTTCTGAGATTGCGTTTTAGTCCTTTGTCTTGTCATGTTTAATGCCAGAGGCAGAATGCTCAGTCTCCCCCTTCCCTCGCAGCTCAGCAAAGGTTGCTAGTATCCCTAGTGGTCAAGCTTGCTCCTCAGTGTCCGCTGAGATGCCCTACTTAGTCTGGGGTCTTCCAGCAAATGGTGAAATGTAGCCAGGTCTCAGACGGGAACTATGATGTCAGCCGAGGGACCGTCTGATCCAGTGTCCCCTCGCAGCTCAGGGCATGCGTAAGACCCAGAAGCAGACTGCACTTGTGGAGCAATCAGGGACCAGTGGTCCTGTGTCCCCAGGCAGTTCAGGGTGCAGGCAGAGCCCAGAAACGAATCTCAGGGTCAACAGTTTGTGGACCACCTGATTTCGTGTCTCTAGGCAGCTCGGGGCGCACATAGGAGCCAGACAAGGGCTGCAATGGTAGTGATCACGGACTGCCCGTGTCTGTGACGTCCAGGGGGTTAGGGCATAAATAAAACCCAAACGCAAACCTCGGTGCCAGCAGTTCATGAGGCACCTGCGCCAGTACCTCAGGCGGGCAGGGCACGTGCAGGGAGGGCCCAAACGCGAACCCCGATGTTAGCATTTCATGGGCCTTCTGAGTCAGTATCTCTTATCTGCACCGGGTGCATGGAGGGTGAAGACACAGACTGTAATGGCAGCAAAGTCGTGGGTCTCCTGCTCTGCCCTCAGGAAGTAGATGGGGAATACCTGGTCCATCATAAACACATTGCCTTGATGAGTTTATTGCAGATAAATACATTTTCGTATCCACCGCACAGATCACATCAGCAACATTGTCATCCACTGTAACTTTGCCTAATCACAATGATAAACTCTCCCCGGAGGACATCACTGCCTTGACTTTTAGCACTGTAGCCTGTTATCTTTCTAACAAATTTTATAGGAATGCCTTTACTCAATTTATGGTCATTTCTCCCTGGCTTATTTCATGTAATATTTTGTCATGGAGATTTATCGAAGTCCTCACACATCACAATTTTTTCATAAAGCTTTATAGAATTTCATTGTATTACTATATAGCAATTTGGTTTTCTCATTGGATGAACATTAACTTTTCAGCTCTGGAACATTATGAAAAAGAGAGTCTTTGTAATATTGTCTCTGACTACTGAAGCAAGTACACCTCTCTTTCTGTTGGTTACATATGTAGGACTGCCTCTTGCCTTCACATCCGTTGATCTGACTCTGTATAGCTAAGCTAGGCTTTTTTGTCTTAGCATTCTCATGGTGTATATTTTTGCCTTTCTTAATATTTTGAATTTTTCAAATTCGATGTCTTACTTTTCTTTTGCTAGGGACATGTACTGCTACTGATGCTCTGCCTCTAGGGAACAGGCCTTAATTTGTAGTGGGGAGAATGGCCTGGGCTGTGCTACAGTGCAGTTAAACTGTGTGATTCTAAACGTTACTTGGGACCCTTTCTGCCAAATTTTACCTCCGCAAATCTGACTAGTAACTTTACTAGTGATCAGCGGACACCTAGGTTGGCCAGGTAAAATATATGTTCGGTTAAATTTGAATTTCAGGTAAGCATCTAACGTGCTTGTTGTTTTTCTGAAATTCAAATTTAACTTTGTGTTCTGTCATTTTACTTGCTAAATATGACAACCTTACACTTATCCAGCCTGACAATAAAGAGTTAAGTACACTATTTTGTCCATTAACAGTCAATGTAATTACTGATATATTTGGGATGGTATCTATCATCTTAATTTTAAAAATTCATTTCATTTATATTGTTCCATTTCTCCTTCTTCCTTGTCTTTGATGATTTTTTGTTATTTCATAATAAAATTGTTCAGTGTATTAGAGTTTTAGTTATGCATTCTTTTAGGTTAATAGATACTATCTTACGTACTTCCGGTACCAGGAATTGAACTCATGACCTTACGATTGCCAGGCAGGAGCTTTGCCACTGAGCTAAATCCCCAGCCCCAATCTTATGTATTCTTAACTATTAGAGTCTAGACAAATTAGTATATATACCTCATGCCAGACAAGCGAGGATCATAGACCATTTAAGCTTTTGTGATTCTGTGGTAATATATTTTAATTCTATGTATATGCAGAACTCCACGAGACACCATTTTGCTTTTGTGCAGTTAAATCCCGGCTTGGCCCTGTGTGCGAAGATGATAGTGAAGCAACCTCGGATCTTCTCCCTCTGCCGTGCTCAGGGATGGCTCCCATCCTGTGTCTCCAGATGGTTACTCAAACTGCAGACATCTGTATTCCAATCAAAAAAACAACAGAACCACCGAAAGAAAGCTGTGACATTTTTCCATCTTTTAAAGACTATTACCAAGAAATCCCACATCTATTTCATTCTTTTTTTTTAACAGTAACAAAGTTTTACGAAAGGTAGGAAAAGAACCAGACTCTGCAGAATGAGTCTGGGTCAAATAAAAGTAGGAGAATAAGTGCGCCCTGCAGCGTGAGGATGGCTACCATCCAAGACAGAATACTGTGGCCATATCTACTTAATTCTGTTTGCCAACAATTTTTAGTTCACCACACAATAGTTTTAAAGAGACTTGAAAAATTATTTTGGGCAACCACAAGTGCACTTGAAACTAGAGGGAAGTAGATACTATAGTTAGGAATAAATAACTCTAACCATATCTCCATCTGTTCAAAATGATTCATGGGTCATTTTCTTAAAATATTAAATGATCACCTTCTCAAGAAATTTGCTGGATAGAATTAAATTTTATCCAGTCTCTTTGTCTGTTTTTCTTTCTCCTTCTCCCTCTCCTCTCTATTTATCAGATATAAATTTATTTTCCTATTCATCTAAGTACCAAGTTAGTCAAATATTTTTGAGCTGCATTCTTGTTCTTCAGCCTCTATCCACCTCTAAGATTTTTAAAACTTTTTTTCAACAACTGGGAATGTTGCTTAGAGTGATGGTAAGGGCTGTGTGAGCTTTGGAACTGTAAGGGCTGTAATAGTCGCTTGACACGAGAGATAAATCAAAGCCTTAAAACTGTGTGGTGAATGCTCTATCTGCTTTGTTGAAGCCTGATGTGCTCAGTATAAAGCCTTTTGAGAATACTAAAGAGAGCGTGTGATCTGATGGGAAAGTACAAGAATATCTCATCAGTACCAGAGCAGACCCTTCATGAGAGGCATCCATTTATGGTGTTTCCCATTTTGAGCTTTGTGAAGAAATTGATTGATCTTCATTCTTTTTTGTAAATATCATATCATTTTTTTATTTACAACAAAATGTGAGCAATTGGAAGCAGGGATCATGGCTTCTGAGCATGCTTGTCTTTCTTGAAATCAGCAAGGAAAAACTGAATTCTGTTTCCCCACCATTCTGCTCATATTTAGCTCATTTAAAATACATAAACACATTGTTATACTCAGATCGAACAGGTGCCGTAATTCCAGATGAAACTGTGTCTATCTAAATGCTAAAGAAGGAAGGAGAGGCCCGATCTTCTTTGAGGCCAGGTGCTACAGATTTTAGCAACATAGGGATTAGAGAGACTGAGCCTCATAGAAAAAGCTGGAATTGATCCTTGGACACATGTGAATATCCAAGAATGTGTCATCTGGGGCTGGGGATTTAGCTCAGTGGCACAGCACCTGCCTGGCAAGTGCAAGGTCATGAGTTTGATTCTCAGTACCAGAAAAAAACAATACACACACACACACAAAACCAAGAATGCGTCATCTGCCACTCATGGAGGAGAGAAAAATTTACTCTACAGTTTTGAGATGACCAGATTTTCCCCAAGCATTTTAAGTTCTCATTAATAGCCCTGTTCAGAAACTTTTTTTGATAAACTAGACTGAATTATTTTTAAAATTTTGATTTTGAGAAAGAAAGAGTCTAAATTCAAAAGAAATGTTAAGAAAAGAAGATCTGGGGGCTGGGGATTTAGCTCAGCGGCAAAAGCGCCCGCCTGGCAAGCGCAAGGTCGTGAGTTCGGTTCCTGGTACCGGAGAAAAACCAAAAAAAAAAAAAAAAAAAAAAGAAAAGAAGATCTGTTTTCCCTGCTTTAAAAAAAAGTAACTATAAGGGGCTGGGGATTTAGCTCAGTGGCAAAGCGCCTGCCTGGCAAGCGCAAGGTCGTGAGTTCGGTTCCCGGTACCGGAGAAAAACCAAACCAAAAAAAAAGTAACTATAAATACACCCTACAATTCTACTTGTAAAAAACATTCTCATAAAGATATGGACTCTTAAAGCTTAATGTTATTTCTTGTGGGATACTATTGTTAATACTGACTTTTTAATATAGAATCATTCTATGGTCTTAGTACTAGCTAAGTAACTGTTTTAATTTTCTTTATTAAACAGGAGAGTTAGCAGTTCACAGTCTCTGTGTTCTGCCTTCAGCTGATTATTAGTGATACTGACGTAGTATAAAATTTAGAACTATATACATGAGACATTTTGTTTTTATAACTAATGTGCAGGAAATGCTCTCTTCTTACTGTGTAGATAATCCTTCACTTGGAGAGTTGCTACCATTCTTTCCAATTCACTTCTCCAAGAACAAAGAGGCTTTGGAATTGGAGGAAAGCTGAACCTATAGAATTCTGCCATTTATCTCTTTCTTTTAGACCCATCAGCCTGCATAATGGGTACACATGGCTCAATTTTTGGTCCAATGTGGCAAAAGCAATGGGATTACACCCTGGCCTGGGTCTGGGGGAATCTATCTTCTTCCTCTCTACTTTTGCTTGCTACATAGTTATAATATGCCTGTCCCTAGAGTCCTGAGGCCACATAATTGCTGTTTTTAAAAATCTTGATATGTACATGTATCTAAACCACACTGAGCACTCCGTTATTAGTAATCTGACCTTCTTTAGTGCCCGACCTCAGAATCAAAGATTACAAGAGCATATCACCATTTTTGCTTGCTCTGTATTCATATTCACAATTTTTGTCATTTCTATCTTTCCTTTATTAATTTATAAAAAGAGCAACACAGTAATCAAAGGTTATAAATTTAATGTTAATGTTTAAGATATTGAAATGTAATTGTGACAGAGAAACTAGGGAATCAACAGAAAACAAACATTCAAACTGAAAAAGAGTAAAGCTATCCTTGTTTGCAGATGAAGTGAGCTTATATACAGGAAATCCTAAAGAATCCATAAGAGAACTAAGATACAAAATGAAAATACAAACCTTAATTGTATTTCTATACAGTAAGAATGAACTACCTGAAAAAAAATCTCATATATTAAAGTAGCCCACAAAAAAAAAACAATGAAAGGTTTAGTAATATCAGTTACTAAGGAGGTAAAACACTTGTTTAAAGGTGACTCAAACAAGTGGAAAGACATTTTGTATGAGTGGATTGAAGTTTACTGTTGTGAGAATGTCCATATGATCCAAAGTGACCTACAAATTCAATGCAGTCTCAATTAAAATCCTAATGGCATTTTGCACAGGTAGAGAAAAAGTACTTCTGCAATTCATATAGATACACAAGTTAAGTACCAAATTAATCTGGTAAAAGAACAAAGCTGGAAGGTTCACATTTCCTGACTGGAAAACACATCACAAACATACAACAATCCAATCAGTTTAACACATAAGCCAAATGAACAGGACAGGGACCACAGAATGAATCCACATTTATACAGTCAACTGATCTTTGAGCCCTAAGAAAACACAATGGTGAAAGAGGGTGTCTTCAGCAAATGGTGCTTGGAATGAAATATCCACATACAAGAGAATGACTTTGAACACTTACCTTACACCATACACAACAAATGCATTGAATGAATGGAATAGGGGAAAGGAGAAAAGAAGGAAGGGAAAAGGAAAAGTATATACATACACACACACACACATAAGATAGCTAAGACAGTTATACTACTAATTGCTATTAGCTCATTGAAAGGGAAGGTTTATGCCTATATTGTTTAATCTGTTTCTCATGCCTATATCTTGTAATATGAGTAACTACTTTGAAGATAAATTGTTAATTGTTATGCAGTGTGCTAACCATTGTTACTCTCTTACAATCTTGGTTTGAAATTTTATACCATTGTTTTTAGTGTTTATTTTTCTTTTCTTTAAAATAAAAAAAAAGAATAATCTGTTGTGGAATGGATAAAGAAAATGTAATATTTATACACAGTGGAGAATTACTTTGCCATAAAGAATGATAAAATTAAAGCATTTTTAGGAAAATGGATGCACTTTGAGACCATAATTTTAAGTGAAATAAACCAGACACACGTTTAAGTTTAGACACACGTTTAGTTTCTCTTGTGTGAGAAACTAAATGAGGAGCAAAATGGAGGATAGATATTGGGAAGTAGGAAGTGAGAAGCAGAACGAGGGAGGAAGGAGGAGGAAGGGAAGGAAGGGAAAAGGAATAAAGAGAAAAGAATGGAAAGAAAACTGGAAACAAGGCTTTTATAAACGGGGAGAGGCAGAAGAGTTGGAGGGAGGGGAGGGGGGTAGGAAAAAAGACTAACTAAGATGTATTATGTTCAGGTACAAATTCCCTATGATGGATGTGATCATTATATATGGCAAACATTACATATGGCAAAAAATAATCAGTTGAACACTTTAAAATAAGCCTCATCTAAGTCTTATGACAGTAAAAGAAACCTTAAAAATTAATTTTTTTTTTTTTTGCACCAGAAATTGAACTCAGGACCTTGTGCTTGCCAGGCAGGCATTTGTGCTGCTGAGCTACATCTCCAGCTAAAATAATTTTTAAAAAATGAATATCACTCCAAGATACACAATAACAGAGTTTCTTCTCTATCCGAGTTAGTTTAACACCCATGCCAGAGTTTTGTTGTCTTAGTCAGTAAGGTTTGTTTTTGTCATTGTTGATATTGAAAACCCTCCTGACAGAGTCGCATAGTGAATGGTGAGCAAATCAAGTGGCCGTCAGGGTTACGTAGTAAAGGTGTGCAAGTGACGTTCTCTTCTCTGTTGCCCTTGGTAATGCGAGCGGTGATATGCTGAAGTATTTAATCTCCGTAAGTGTGTCATTGAACGTTTGCTTTCATTGTGTGTGTGATTCCCATACACAGAATTGAGGTGACCTTTGGTTTTTCCAGTGATACTCACTCATATAGGTTGAGAAAACAGACAGGAAACAGAGATGCTCACACCGGGGCTGCAAGAGGTCACGGTGATGCACAGATGCCTGCGTGCAGCGAGTTGGATGCGAGACCATTAGGAGGCTAGGGGGGCGGGCGGGCAGAAGTACCAGCCACACCTGTGCCTCTAG